CACCCCCCCCCCCCCCCCCCCCCCCCCCCCCCCCCCCCCCCCCCCCCCCCCCCCCCCCCACCCCCCCCACCCCACCCCCCCCACACCCCCACCCCCACCATTCGGTGCGCTCCTCCTGAATGAAGCCAGCAACCCCTCTGGGTCGCATGCCCACCTCTCTCCCCTACTCAGGAAAGCTTTCTGCAACGCTCTGCCCCAGGGCATCAACGTCTCACTCTCCTGAATCCCTCCCATCAGCCTACACTCACTGTTAATGCTTCCAACCAAAACGTAAATCTCCCGACCGACCCTCCGGACCCCAGCGGACACCCCCCACAGTGTGCTCCCTTTCAGCAAAGCTTCTCAAAACAGCTTTGGACAATCTCTGTCTCCAATTCCCTTCCCTCCTCCCTCCAATCAGGCTCCTGCTGCCACAGCCACCAGACCCACACTAAAGCTACCAAGGAACCCAGGGCACGGATCCAAGCGTCATTCTCAGTCTTCCCTGGCACCTGGCCCAGCTCATCACGCCTCCTCTTTGACATGGTTTCATGTAGCTTCCAGGATGCCATGATTTTGCTGTCGCTTTCACTACCTCTTGTGTTGTGCCCTCCCAGTCTCCTTTGCTGGCTGGTCCTCTTCTCCTGCTCCTCATGACGCTAGACCCCCCCCCTCCCCCCAGGTCTAATCCTGAAAACTCACCTCTTCTCTCACTGGGGATCTCATCTGATCTTATTCCTTTGAATACCAACCATAGACTCCCATTACATCTCCAGCGCAGATCGCCCTCTTAAACTATCAGGTCTGGATGTAACTGCCCACACGACATCTCCATCTGGGTGTCATAATCTTCCCTAGCTCAACATGTCCTAAACTGAACTTTGTGCACCCCAACCTTCTCGAGCACAGCCTTCCCCATCTCAGTTGGTCACAACTCCGTCCAGTTGCTCAAACTAAAGTCCCTGGCACTAGTATACGCCTTCCCTCTTCTCACACCCACAACCCCTCTGTCAGGATATCATAAGGGCTCTATCTTCATATTACATCCAGAGCGTGGCCACGTTTTCACTGCTTCCATGCAACCAGCAGAGCATGCTGCCACCGCCTCTTCTTGCATTGCTACGATGGATTTTTCTAATGGCCTCTGAGATGGTCACCTGGATTCTACCCTTGCCCTCTACCCCCTACAGCCTATTCTCAGCTCAGAGGCCAGAATGAGCCTATTATTTTGGGTTGCAGATCCTATCTCTCCTCTGCTTAAAACCCTGCACTGATTTCCCATTGTGAAACCAGAACCCCCAAAGATGCAATGCCAGACCTGGCCAGGCCCCTGCGACTGTCCCTGGCTCTCTGCTGGTGACTTCCAGACACCTTGCCTCGCTGGTGTTCCTCCAACACACCAGCACGCTCTGACCTTAGGGCCTCCACACCACCGTTCCTTCTCACTACACTGCTGTTGCCCAGATCCAAAAGTCTAGTTCCTGTGACTTCTTTAAAGCCCATGTTCAAATGTCACCTTTTTAATGAGACTTCCCTGACCACTCCATTTAAAACTGCAACCTGCCCCACCCTGCTATGGGCTACACTTCCTTTTTCCACAACATTTGTGCCTTACCACGTAACATGTAATCTACTTCTGCACACAGTAGGTTATGCACTGCCTGTCTCTCTCCGAGCCTGTCCCCAACCCCGTCCTCCACTGGCTTCCCAGTAAAACAGAATCTCTTGAGCACAGGCACTTGGGCTGCTGCTGTGTTCACTGTGTGTCCTGAGTCAGAGCAGTGCACACCAAGAGCTCAATCCATATGTTTTCAAAGAACTGATGAATAGCTTTGACCATCTAACCCTGTTTCCTGTTTACACCATCAGACTAGCAAAAGACTGTTATAAGCAGTAAATGAAGAATCATGATAATCTTTGCAAAGCATAAAATAATGTGTTTAGGAACACCCTTGAAATTCATTCAGGGGAAACTTACTAGGTAATTGCCTATATGGTATGGCTTAGGAGATGTACAAAAATCCACCCAGGCTTGCCTAACAACGTCCTGAGATTCCACTAAGAAGAGTAAATGAAGGTTTTCAAGTCTTATTTTTCCAAATTCAAAGTTACCTCTGAGAAGTCCTGCAGACAGGAGAGGAACAATCTTCCAGTCAAGACCTGGCGTCCTGCTGTGCTTATGTGCATTCAGCAGGCTCTTCCCTCACTTCAGGTGCCCACATGGAGAAGTGGGAGAAGGTCTTCTGGCACCAGGGGTCCCTCCCGGCCTGGGGGCCCTGGGAGCCTGTCAGGCTCAGCAGGGTGCTAGGTACCTGGGAGCAAGAGAAAGGCAGGCGGTTCAGAACAGGAAGAAGAGGGTGGTGAAGTTCGTAGCACTGAGAATCATCCCCAGCACTAGCCTTTCATATCTCCAAGCCCAGAGAAAAGGCTGTTGGCATGATTTTTAGAAATCTTATCAGATTAAACATTTGTAAAGCATAATAGTTCACCAGAGAAGGAACTGAGGTTTCCTATGTAAAAAAATGAATTCCATCAAGAAGTTAACAGATAAATCCACCAACACAGACAATTCTCAGATCACAAATTGTCCCTGGCTCTCCCATTCTGTCCCCTCCTTTTACAATCGCAGCCATTCAACCTTACCCCAATGAGACTCCTTCAAGGAGAAGTTTAGACCCACAGAAAAATTTGATCCCCAGAGCAACCATGAAAAAAACAACTCAAAAATGTATAATAAAATTGTTATGGGTTGAACATGTCCCCCAAAAGTTCATGTGTTGCAAAACTGATCTCTATTGTGACAGCATTAAGGAGGTAGGAAATCTAATTACAGTATTTGAAAGGTAAAGCCTCTACGAGATGATTGGATCGCGAGGACTGTGCCCTTGTGGATAGGTTAATCCATTCACGGAGTAACGAGGTGATGGTTTAATAGGCTGTCAGTGTCATGAAGCCTCTACGAGATGATTGGATCGCGAGGACTGTGCCCTTGTGGATAGGTTAATCCATTCATGGAGTAACGAGGTGATGGTTTAATAGGCTGTCAGTGTCATAGTTCTGATGACTTTATAAGGAGAGCACATGGGAGCACTCTTGCCATTCTCACCATGGGACTGCCAGCATCACCATTCTGTAGAGTTCCCACACAGAAGAGGGCCCTCACCAGATGCACTCCTGGACCTCGGACTTCCCAGCCCCCAAAACTGTAAGAAATACATTTTATTTCCTTTAAATTACCCAGTCTCACATATTCTGTTATAGGCAACAGAAAACAGTCTAATATGAAATAAAGAAAAATGTAATTAAAATAGTATAATAGAAGCTATCTATTTAATACAAAAGAAAGGAAAATGGAGGAACAGAAGAACAGAAGAGACATAAGACCCTTAGGAAACAAATAGTAAAACGGTAGACATAAATTCTACTTTACCAGTAATTACATTAAATGGCTTAAACACTCCAATCAAAAGGCAGAAATCGGGGGCTGGCCCGGTGGCGCACTGCTACAGTGCGCCGCTTGGGAGCGCGGCGGCGCTCCCGCCGAGGGTTCGGATCCCATATACAGACTGGTTCCCGCTCACTGGCTGGGCGAGGGGCGGGCGCAGCACCGAGGGTTGCGATCCCGTTGCCGGTCCGGGTCCGGTACGGG